TTAGATAGGCTATTTTTATCTTGGTTCAAATTCATCTAAAAGATTAAAAGATCTATCATTTAAGTCATTAGAATAGAAGACCAATATCGATAAAATAAAATTAAAAAAAATCAAATACAAGCGAAAATCGATTGTGTCCCAAAGTCAATTCCAAAGCACTAAAGGGTTTTAATCCAAACCATAATCGTAATTTTCAAAACCTAAAGGTAAAGGTTTTAAATCCATATTCAAGAGTCCAAATTCGAATTCTTGTCTTTTTAACTTAGGATCAATCTAAAAACTCTAGGTATTCTTTAAAATCTAAACGAAAAAAGCAAAGAAATAATTATTTATACTACATCCATGGTTGGACAATCTATCTTGCTCATTCTTACTTTTACAGGAAGAAAGAGAAGAAGAATATTTTTTTAAACCCAAACCTCAAATTAACATGATTAAAGTTGAACCATCCAACTCTTTCTTTAGGTTTATTTTGTTGAATCCTATATTTTGATTATAAAATTAATTAATAAATTTATAAACTAATAAGTAAATCATTAAAACAGGAGAAAGAAAGATAGATCATTAAAACTTTGATGACATAAGAGAAACTTTGATCGTCGACTTAAATCATCGAAAGATAAATCATTAAAACAGGAGAATCAAATATTAGGCCGGAGAGCATCATGTCAGAGTTTGGATGTCGGGCCAGAGGATTGATCAACATACCGGAGGATAGACTTCGTGTCATGAGTTTGGGTATCGGGTCGGAAGGATAGGATATTGCACCAAGAAGACCAAATGTTGTGGAAGGTCAACATGTCGATGGATCGGGTAATACGTCGAAGAAAAGGATGATGTGTCGAAGGTTCATATGAAGTGTCGAAGGTTCATATGAAGTGTCGGATGAACAGATGACATATTGGACAACGTGTTGAAGGCTTCATGATTGTAATTAGAGTTGTTAAGTCTTGATTGAAGTAGTTTAGAGTCTAATTGAGTTGGTTTTAGAGCGTAACCATGTCAACTTGATTAGGAACCCATTGAGCCTGAACCAGGATCAAATTAGGTTTGTTGGAAGGCCAATTCAATAACTTGGGATTGGGCTAGGTGGTGGTACTGCTAGGCTTAGGCGGTGATACCTCCCGAGAGCCGAAAACCACTGTTTGTGTGTTTCCAGGAATCCCAACAGTAGTATTACTAGTGTTGACGGTAGTGTCGCTAAGTAGCAGTGACAGTGGTACCACCCGGTGATGATAATACCACCCATGCCAACGATGGTACCGCTAGACTGACAACTAGCGATACCACCGCCTGTCAGTCTGATACTGAGTGGTACTACCACCCAGTCTGACACTGATACTGGTCGGTACCACTGCTTGACATAGTTTGGGAGATTATACTAGTCATAGGTGCCCTGCAAGCAATCACGTGAGTGATAGCATGTGTGACTTGACACACAGTCTTTTTACTTATTATATTTTGATATTTATCACTTTATATTACTTGTTGCATATATATATATATATATATATATATATATATATATATATATATATATATATATATATATATATATATATATATATATATATATATATATATAAAGGTCTCTACGCCCAACAAATCCCATATAGTTCCTTCCCTTCTGTTTCTGTTCAAAGCTGAGCTTGATCAAAACGACTTTGTATATATTGAGTTTAATAAGTTCTACGGAAACTACGAAACCCAACAATTAAGGCGTAAGAAAAGAATGGAAAACGGTTTGCTCCTTTGATTGGTCAAGTTGCCAAACTACTCAAAGTGGCTCTTTCCCGGCAATGTAAGATCCTTAAGATCCGGCTTGACTTTCTCTGTG